CTAAGTTTTCCTGAATCCTCTTCTCTTGACCCGCCCATGAAATCTCTTAGGCTTACGTGAAAGTCTGATAGCCTGGACAACATACTACGCGGTCCGCCTGCAGTAACACACGCAAGACGACGACACACCTTTGATACCTTTGAGTGTCACAAGATATGTTCGCGCTGATGTTTGTACCTACAAATTATTCTTGCTCCCCTGAGTAGATCTCCTGAGACGTGGGCACGCACTACGAACGACGAAATACGAAATACTTGCACTTGTTGTCTCTTTGTATAAGAAGTACTGGTTTTCAACCTTACCTTTATTTTTTCCTTTTCACTCTTTACATACGAGAAGTGGGAAGATGGAGGCCCAGGTGTAATATGTTTACCTAGGGTTTATGAATACGTAACATACTTTTATAGAATTTTAGTAATGTTTAACATAAATAAATATTTGCAATCAGGAATTGTTGATAGTCCACATATAGTGGTAAAGTTTGTAGAAAATTTTTCAACTTTGTTTGGCGGTGTGTCGAGTCACTTTACAAACTGAAATAAACTAGTAAAGTCATTTTGATGTTGCAAGTATAAAAGAGAAAAACTAATATTATGACCGAACTTGCCAAGGTTTTGTTTTCGTGAAACCGGTTGAATGGTGTAGAAAAATTTTACGAATTATTCGTGGCCATTGAAAGTACTATTTAAAGAGGCAGTATTAGCCAAACCAAAGGCACTTGCCGGGCTTAACACACTCACCTGCGTTTACGACGCCCCGACGTTCCGTAACACCCCCGTCGTAAAAGAGGAGAGGAAAAGCCATTCCCTCCAGGTGCACCCAAAGGAATTCGATTTCTCCAATATTTCCTTTAAACTTTGGAGGAAAGGAAAGTAAACCTCCTTAACCTTGCCCGTGACATTGGTACCGACGTGACCTCCTCTGAAAGGCCCAGTAAAGTGAACCAATCCTTCCAAGGATTCGATTTACCTGATAACCTTGCGTTGGGGACACAAAAGGAGGGACAGCAATCAAAGGGACACACCAGTTAACAGACTAACACCAAGTGGACAACGGTCCCGGCACCCTTCATCCCCTACGACTCCCACCGACGTCGTGGGGACCACCTACTGTCCCCTAGACGTAAAGATGTTCTATATTATGATTATATTAATGGTTTTTTACTTAAAAAGTCGAACTACATGTTGTAAGTATTAATTCATTTCTATTGGTGGGAAAAGTGGGGCCAATGTAAAAGGTAAACGGGACATGCTTACCCGCGACTCACTACTTTCACCCCCTACAACCGAATAGTCCGCGGGCGTCGAAGTGTCCGGTTTCACTTCTCTCTTCTCTCTCCCCCACCGTGGCCATGGCCGGCCCCTAACACAATCCAAAGACGACGTGATTGCCTATATTCTTTCCAGCAAGATGTTATTACACCTCCCTCTCAAGACAGGAGACAGTCTGACTCTCAAGTCACTCCATGTTCCTGAGCTCCCATCTCATCAAGGAAAATCAGATTTAATAGAGTCACTCAGAGTTTGCATAACTAGTGTTTAATACATTTGTTTATAAAGTTCCGTGTGGAAATACTTAATAATCCTATTTATTTTTGTCCAAACTTTAGTAAGGGTTACATATCGATATATCCTGTCATTTGGTTTTTATAACCAATCTCAACCTCTCTAAATTTTTTATACGTATTTATTTATTTACAATTTGACCATTTTATCTATACTTACTTGTTGTTTTTTTTTTATTTCAATGTAAATTCAACAATAACGCGATACCATCCCTAACTTTTACAGTGTATCGAAAACTAGGCTTCTTTTAACCGTTTTCGGCTGAAAAGAGTATACGTACAATACTCAACATGGGGGATTTCTAGTCAGAGATCATTTTACCCGCGGGGTTCACGTGGTCTAACTTCGTAAAATGAATTTTCATTTTTTTTTTAGAACGGCCCCCCCGTGGGCGGGCATTCGGATTTCCCACTGTCCCTCAGTGGCGCGGCTATCCCTAACCCCGTGACGTTTCACTCAGAGGTCAAGGAATAGGAGATAGGTTTAGAATTTAGGAGATGTTTTTTGGATTATCGGAACGCAACCAGGGTGAAGGACCAGACAAGAAACAAGGAGGAAAACATGACAGGGAGAACAGAAAAGCAAAATAACCCCACAACTAGACACAACAAAACTCAAACCATGACAGCAACCATGCGCGGGAAGTCTTCTTCGCTGCTTTTGTGGCAGACTAAAGCGCCACTTACAGGCCTGGGATATATACTACAGCGTCTCCAGCACTTTCAAGCGGCAATGGCCGGCCGTGGCCCATCCCCACATTCGCCTGATAGGTGGAGAGTTGGCCATATAGGCGGAGAATTTTCCAATCTGTATCAGATCCGTTGCAACCCCGTTTTTAGAGATTTGGGTATGGAGGAAAAGAGAGGATTGTGTTTTCTGACACTTGGTGAGTTCCCTGACACACCGGGGACACATATTCATGTATAAAAGACGTACAAAAGTGCATTTTGCATGATAGGTCCCCTTTAACATTTTCGTGGCCAACATCTCCACCTTGTGTTCATAACATGATGTGGAGCCCAAGATTACGTTTTCTCAGTGTTTTTAAAGCTGCTTTATACAATTTATCACCTACATTTTAGGAAAAAATACAAATCAGAATCAGGTTTATTGCCAGGTCGGTTAACATATACGAGGAATTTGCCTTGGTGTACATGGTGCATACACAAACACAGTTAAAGAAGGTAGAAAGTAAGAAAAAGCACCAACTATTATATGATAAGATGCAGAAAATGATTTACATTGAATCTGGATATAGAAAACGACCTGCAGTATACTATTGCAAAGAACTTGAAAATAATCTAATCAAATATGTGCAGTATTGTTATTGAAGTGGATGAGAGGTAGCTACATTATTTCTAACACATGAATGAAGACTCTGTGGCCTTGAGTAAGGACTCAGGTGGCATTACAGGTTATTTTCTTTCAGTCAAGCCGGCACAACAAGCGAAACGTGGCTCTTTTAAAAGTATTCACCTCGATCAGTATGTCCAAAGCTCAGTGCAGTGGAACTGTTTTGTTTTTGTGTCTCTTCCTCAGAGCTCCGCCTGAATGACTGCCGCCTTCTGGAGAGGTGGAGCGACAAGCAGGAGAGTCTGCATCAGCTGGTGTGTGCTCTGAGGACGCTGCCCTCTCTGCACACACTCAGCCTGGCTCAGAATCGCATCGGTAAGCACTTCTCTCACAACCGTTCCAGTGCTGTGATTCAGGCCAGAGTTCATCATTACTGCGCTGCACTCTCACCTGACACGCCAAGCAATGTTACATCAGGACAAACATTTCTACGCTCTTTGTTTTGAGATGCTGATAGCAAACTGGTTTCTTATCAATTCAACTTGCACATTTTGACTTCTATTTGCTTATGTTGTTCAATGATAAAACAAATTTGGGTAAAGATTATTTTCCTGTTGATTATGGGATTCATTTCATTTGTTTTACGGTCTATCAAAACCAAACTGTTTATTAAGAGCTGCTGATTGATGAGATCCAGCTTGTCCTGAATTTGTCATTGTCCTGGATAAATGAGAGAAGTGCATGTTCATTCCCCTTTTTACTTTTCCTTCAGCTAAACTGTCTGTTCCTTTCAAATCAAATCAGGTTTTATTTCTAAAGCACAATTTAAAACGATTTTTGGTCGAGACCAAAGTGCTGTACATGCAAATAATAAATAACACATTACTACATTCGCAAAGAACAGAAGACAATAAATTACCACAACAAATATAAAAATCCAACACAGGGAATTGTCCGTAGTCATACTCTGCTCGGACTAGAATGCCAGGGAGAAGAAGTGAGTCTTTAGTTTTGTTTTTAAAAAATCCTTCCTTTAATCATGAATGCCTTGTTCATCTTCACACGGCAGTTCAGAATGCATGACATAAATCCCAACTTAAACTTGGTTTAATCTTAGGCGGCTACCATCTATCTACCGTCTTTATTTTGTTATCACAGGTTTATGTATATAGTGGAAGGTTGCATTCAGAATGACCCACAGAGAGAACATTGTTGGTGGAGAGTTTATCAGAGCTAGATAGAGCGAGACTATTGGACTTCCATTTATTTATTTAAACCCTTATGTTGCTCAGTGTTGGACTTTGGTTGCTAAATGTTCCCCATGTGAGCTTTTAAGGTAATGATATGTTAATGATCTCTGCTTGTTATCCAGCCAATATTTGAATTATTGCAGCTTTGATTTAATGAAAAACATCTTTACACCGTCTCAATTTGTCTCCTTCTTAACAGAAAAGTGCTTTATGTGCATCTCCAAATCTCCTGTGTTAATAACGTGCCTGCCTGTGTCCACAGCTAAGAACGTGTGTGTGCTGGCAGATCTGTTCTCAGGGCCCTCCCCCAGCCCACTGAAGAGACTCAACATCAGGTGAGGGTCAGCAGTAGGCTCCTCAGGCTCCAACACCTCTCCGCTGCTCATTTAGGCTGCATCTACACAGAGACGAAAACTAACCGAATTCGATTTCAAAAAAGTCTTCCGTCCACACAGTATCGGCTCAAGAAACGTGTCCATCCACACGAGACCGCTCGACCCGCTGTAGTACATATGCCGGGCCTGTAAGTGGCGCTGTACGCCACAAAATACACCAAAAGCAGCGAAGAAGACCCCCGAGCATGGTTGCCTGGTTGCCCTTCTGTTTATTCTCCGGGGTGGATTTAGCGACATGTAGTTCATATTATGACCTTATTACTACAGATAGTGTAACACTATTTGATCCTCTGCTGGTGTCAGTGACACTGATCCTAATGTGCTGTCTGTCCTGAACAGCTCCAACTTCATCCTTCCTGCCGAGCTGCTGGAGTTCTCTAGGAGACTGAGGAAACACCCCCCACCCCAGAGACTGACCCTGGACCTCAGGAAGAACCCAGGGGACAGAGACCCCGACACCTGGAGCTCTGCTCTGCACAGGCTGCAGCCCTTCTGTGTTTCACTGGTGGAGGGATGGAGTTCCTCCAACACCATGGCTGACTACATCAGCAACATGTGAACTAAGGCCAGTTGGAGGGAAGGGGTCTGAACATTTAGCTCTTCATGTTTTGTCTCTTTGACAGAAGAATGACTCAGCAGTTTGGTTCAGTTGAGAAACTAATGACATTTTTTAACTGTTTTCTTTAATTTATCAAACCACACCTACATCTTGGATAACTTGGGCAGTGTCCATTTGATTCAAATAAAAGTCATATTTTCACCACGTCTAAAAGCTATAGGGGTCTTATTTGTCCTTCATTCTTGATTGCTATTTGGGGTTGTCCCTTTCCAGTAGTGTCTTGTATAGGTTTTTGTCAACGCTCTGCAAAGACTAAAATCCCAAAGTTCCCTCCAGAGCAGTGGTTCCCAGCCTGGGGGGCACGCCAAAGATCGCAGGGTTTGACGCAGCGCAGCGCCAGGCCTCAAGATGATTTGGGGCCAAATATATTTAGACTTTTTATCTTTTTTATTTTTTACATATAATTGTAAAGCAATACATGATTTCGACTAAAAGCCTTGTCTCTACATTAGAATAAAATATATAAAAATAATTGATTAATTAATTTGAATACAAATTCAAGTTAGTAGCTATTAAAGGCATAAAAAGACAGAAATGTATAATTGAAATGTTTCTTCTGCCCGTAAAGTGTCCAAACCAGGCTTTTCTGGATAAGCGCATTTTTAAAACAGTCATTGTCCATGACAGTTTCAGTTGGATTATTTGTCACAGTTGCTCCGATCAGATCGGTCTCCTCCATTTTGTAGATTATTTATGACTTTTGAATCCACATAAACACGTCGGCAAAATCCTGCTTACTTTGAGCATGTGTTTTAAACAGTTTAATCCCTTTGTGAATTGTTTCCACTTGCGGCGTCCTTTAATTTCTTCATACAGCGGGCATCCAAATTAATTAATCCTAAATCCAATAACCATAAAAGTCACTTTAATTACCGCTGTGCCATGAATTAATGCTTTGACAAGTCTGCAGACAGACGGCAGGCGAAAAACCTTTTAAAATGCGTGATCTTCTTATTATAGACACATGCATTTCCAAACATTTGGTCTACCTACGCTAAAATGTTTTATCTCTTCGATTTACACACGGCATCTATTGCAAGTCTGTCCGTCCTGGGAGAGGGATCCCTCCTCTGTTGCTCTCCCTGAGGTTTTCTCCCATTTTTCCCTTTAAACTGTGGGTTTTTCTCCGGAGGTTTTTCATTTTACGATGTGAGGGTCTAAGGACAGAGGGTGTCGTTTTCTCATACTGATATTCTGCACAAACTGCTGTTGTATTTACTGTAGGGTATTTTTATTATATGTAGCCTACAGCACTTTGGCTCGTTTAAAAATGTGCTATATAAATAAAACTTGATTTGATTTGTTGTCTAAATCGGCTAAGCTAACGCAATATAGGCTATATGCTCCGACCGTCCACACTCACAACGATCTATACAGACTTAAATAAACCAGCGACTGTATTCGCCATGACACAGACAGTCTGTGGTTTGTACTTGTTTAACTTTTGTCTAGTTTCTGAACAGATATGAGGAGCATGAGTGCAAACAGCTAACGGCTGATGTTGTTTTTTCTGGGGTGCTCATTGAAAATGTCACGGCTCCGCCTACACTGTGTTACTATAGTTACTGCCCCAGCTCCTAAACTGTAATGGAAGCGCAGCATTAAAGTGAGCCGGGCCTAATAAGGCCTAACCAAACCGAGCGAGGCCTGCAGTGGAAACGCGCCATTAGAGTCGCTTTGAGTCTGTTTAC